ATTACTTTGTACGCTTATAGAAGACAGTTTACATCAAGAGTGCATTTCTTCCTTTTCCTTTCTACCCACCTGTGAACTCCTATATCTTATGCTCTTGAGTATTTAAGTCTTTTCTTCCTGATTTGTTAGAGAAGTCTGAATTCAAGTGGTGAAAATAGGCAGCATGAACAGATGTGCTTTTAGGAAACAAATGCGGCAATTTCAAGCTAATATTCTCTGGAAGTAAGGGGGACATAAACTTCCTATATAAAACATGAGACACCTATAATAGTATACCTAATTATCTTCCATGCTATGTTTACCTGACTGGTGCTAAGAATGCATTAGAAAGACTTGATTTTCATCCCACAAAATCTTTTCCCTCTTAAATTGTCTTTCAGGCATCAAAGTTAAACTGGGAACACTTAGTACTTTTTTTTACCCCTCCATAGGATCCATACACATGCTATCCCCTGGTTTCTTTTCAACTTAAAACCCACACTAAAAATTAATTACAAAACCTTCCCCAGACATGCTAGTAGCTTACTGCTAAAAGGCTTTGGTTTATTTCCGCTCCTTCCATTTTTGTTTGTCGATCTGAGTCTCTGGCATCAGCTGCCCTTTCACTGCCAGCCAAGTCAATGAACGATATCCTAGAAAAAACAAATTTGCATTTATCTTAGGGGCTTTCTTTGTTTTTTAAACATCAACACACGACATCAGAAGAATGATTAGAAATCACTATGATTGAACAAGGAGAAATACTCACTGGAAATATCTGAGGCATAAAAATAAGCATAGAACCAGCTACAGGAACAGTGTTAGAGCATTCTGGCACTAACACAGTCATAACAGACAGTCTAATTGCATGCGATAAGAGTGCTCCACAGTTTATTGGTAAAGCTATTTAAAGTGTAAAGCATACATCTCTCTAGATAATGATTGTGCTTGTAGCTTCCTATAAACACAGTTAAAGAAATTGTAAACTTTTTGAGTCTCCTTCCAAGTAAAACAGACATCTGCCTAGGTTAAATGGGAATTCAGGGCAATATGTACAAAAATTTCCAGTTTAATAAGTAATGCACTGAGCTTTCACTGCTCGCTCCTATTCCCTTCCTTCCTCAAATCTCTGCTAGACCTTCTCATGTCCCCTAGTTCTGGATGCGAGGTACTCTACTGACTGTTGTACTATGTCTTCTCCTTTGCCCTTCCTCATATTCTAGAATAGCTCTGACTTCTCTTATGGGTGTGTTTTGGGATCCTTTCCTAACTTCAGTTCCATCTCTCCTTCAGTAACAAAACACAGCACACATGCCATACCTACATAACCACACACACTTCTATTTCTAAGCCTGCCTGCTCTGCCTCTGCCTTGCTCCTTTCTGCTATTTGTTTAACATTTTGCTTTGTATTTAGAGTAAGATCCTGGGGAGCAAGGCTGCATCTTATTTGTTGTAAGAGTCAGTCAGCTCATTTTTGGACACTAGTAATGTAAACACCTAGACATCTTTAATCAGACTATTTCTGGGGGCTGTTTAACCTGCAGAAAAGATGACTGAGAAAAGACACAATTACAGTTTTTAAATATGTTAAATGGCTGCCATAGGAGGAAGTAAACTACCTTTTTTTTTTTTTTTGGTCTGCTGCAGATAGCATCAGACTCACATGCTCAAGCTATCAGAAAGGTTTAGGTGAGGCACTAGGATTCCTCTGACCAAAGAGAGACTTCTTGAATGGAAACACCTCCCATGGCTTGTCACTCCAGACTTTCTTTACAGACAATTAGGAGACAAAGGTGCTTTTAGAGGCAAATCCATCTGACCTGTTTTAGATGACTACGCAGAACGGGATGAATCAGGTCCCAGCAATGGCTCTTTCTTTTCACTGACTTCAGAGGTGATGAGCGCACATGCAGAGGTGGCCATTGCAGACATCTACCTTTGGCCAGATGAATGCCAGACAGAAAAAGCTTTCTAACGCTGACGATGAGAGATGGAGTTGATTATCTCAGGATGGCAGTAAACCTCCTTCAATGGAAATCTTTAAGAACAAGTTTGACAAGCACTCGCCAGAAATGGCTTAAGCACTATTCGTTGGAGCAGAAAAAGGGTTATGAAACTTCTTAAGTCCCTTTGAATCCCGTCTTACAGTTGCCCACAAACTCAATATCTCTTCTGAGTTTGCCTCCTGGATGTCCCTGAGGTTGGCTTCCTCATGAAATGGTGGTGGTGCAGATCAGCAAGTGACCAACATTGCATATTTGCCAAACTGTGCAGTTCTTTTTCTCATCTTACCTTCCGAACGTCCTATTGGCGGTGTCTTTAATTTGGATTTGGATGATAGCATGAGATCGAGAGGAATCAGAGTTCACTCCAGTAGCTCCTGTGCTACGTTCCTTCCCCCCCTTCAAAATCACCTGGGGGACAAAAATCTAAGTAAATTGTACATAAAAACATAATCTCTCAAGAAAAGATCCTGCCCTGTTAAGTTTAGGTTACATTCAAAGGAAAACTTCATTACAGCCCTGAAATTCTGGTGCAAGGCAGAGGCTAAGTTAGACTGAATCCCTTTCAATGTTTCTTTCAGAACTTTGTATATGGATTTGCTTGTGGTGTCACTATGGAGTTCAGAGAGCATACTGCAGGTAAGAAGTTGCTGCACTGCATATTCACTCTGATTTGCAAAAATCAGACTATAAAACGAAAGTAAGTTGCAGAGATAACCTCATGCACTCACGCAACTGAGTATTTGTTGTGGTTTTGTTGTTACTGCTTTTTTTGTTTTAATTTCACATTCTCATGTCATAGATTGGTACTGTTACCCAGAAAATCAAGAGGTATACGCTGTAACAAGACACAAATTGCCAAAACATTTCTCCACAACTGAAAGAAACAACGCTAGAGTAAGTAGCAACGCTAAAGGATCAATTATATTCAAAGTCAGCAGCAAAATAAGAGAACAAAGGGCAGATGCATGGCAGAAGGGCAATGGCACCTTCAAGATACAACTCCAGATCATTCTCTTTTGCAAAATTTTAAGGACTATTGCAGGAAGCCTAGTAACGACTACAGCAGGACATTCATAAAACAGAGTCGTCATTTTGTTTCTGGTAGCAAGAACTAATTAAAATATTAATCTAGCAAAAATCAATATGGTTTCAGTTGACAGATGTGCACTACTGCTTTTCAGTGGCCGGTTTTCAGTCAGCAACAAAGCCAACTGTTGCAGCTCCTGCACAGAATGTCTGAATGCACAGAACTGAATGCACAGAAAATGTCTGAATCAAAGCCAGCAATGAATTCAATTCAATGCAAATTGAGTAACTGTGGACGTATTCAAGACTCTTCCCATAGATCTGTCGCGGGCTATTCAAAAGCTCTGAGTCAAGCTAGTGATATTTCTGTGTTCAAAAGAGCCCGTGGACAATACACAATTAGTTTTTGCCAAGATACCTGTGAGAATAAAGTCATTTAATAGCTCTTCTGTATGTGGAATGTGATAATACAGAAGAATGTGTTAATCAACCATATAGCAGATTTACAATCTAATTTGCAGAAGCATCACCAGCATGTCCTGAAGCTTGGAGTTAATGAGAGGATAAAGAATAAAATTAAATGGAGTGTAAGTAGGCAACACTGTGCCAATTTTAATGAGTCAATTACACTATCAGGCACTTTAAATTTACAATTCCTTACTGAGAAAGAAATTAAACCATGCAAAGTCAAGAAAAATGGAAGGCAGATTTAACCAGCTTTCTTATTGCAGAACAGAGCAGAAAATTTGCTAATGCTCTTGTAGAGCTCAGCCAAGCAGGGAAGGCAGACTGAAGCTTGTGCTAAACGTCAGCTGCTGTTTAAAGATCCTAATTTTATAAGGCTGTTATCACCTACCATTGTCTAAGTAATGTCTCAATCCTACATCAGTTCAGAATCTCAATCTTAAGTATTTTCTAATGTCTAGTTTTATTAATTTTCAAATTTATATCTACTGTCCCACATCCACATACCCTTTATATAGAAAACATAAGCTCATAGAAGCCAAAAAAAAATCACATTAGAGAAAAATATGGATCCATCAAACAAGTAACAAATAAACTAACCAGCTACCCTTGCCCAACTGTAAATTGCACCCTCACATCCACAGTACTTCTCACCTTTTATTGTCTTACTTGGTGTACTGAGTTGCACTTAGACTTTAAATCAATTTTGAGTCATCTAGGATCTTTCAGTGCTTGTTTTGCTGGGACGTTATTTAATTTTGGGGATAGCGACAGCAACCTGTTTCTTGGCAAGGTCTTCCCCTAAGGTGCGGCAGCAGAAGCAACAACCCTAAGCCAACAGTTCACGTATCACTAACACCAGCTACAGCAATCCAGGAAGCCTACTGAATAAAAGCCCTTTTAACAGTGCTCCTCGATGCTCTGCTGAGTTTGCTAAGATCAGAACCTTAAATAGGAACATACACACGTAGCACACAACAAATAACAGTCTTCTCCGCAAATTACTTATCTCACAAATTAGGGAACTGGGCTGCAGAAGACAAAATAAGCACCAGTAAAGAGGTTACCTCTAACAGTAGGTCTACAGAGTCCACCTGAACCTCTCGCAGTCCAACTATTTGAACGACATGCTTGCTATCTTCTCTTGCAAAAAGTCTGAAAGGGAAAAATGGCTTGCAGAAAGGAAATTTCTGAAATCTCAAATAGAAGCAATGGAAACACATGTCAGTGCTATGACACGATGTGCAATATATATCAAGGCTGCCAATTAGGGGAAAGATAACACTGTCATTCACTTATTTTCAGAAATAGCTGAAGAGCTATTTCTTTTATAATATGTACTATTCTTATTTCACTGTTAAAAAGATATTAGCAATGCATTTCTGCTAAAATAGGGAGCAGGAATATAATAAAGCAGACAAATTAATTTTGATGTTTACATTTTAGACTTCCTGTCCCTCTTTGAACTGCATCTCAGACCTTCTATAGGAAGTTCAGACTGTGCAACTTATGCTTTCCTCAAGTTTTCAAGGTTTTTGCACGGCATGGATTTTATAGCAGCTTCCACAGCTATAGAGTCGGAGTATGGAGCAACTCTGCTACGAATCACACAGAGGTAAATGTTACACTATGCAGGAAAAATATAGCCATGACATATGCATGGCAGAACGCTTAATCTCCCCCATCAATGACATGTAAGATAGCTAATGGACCTGCAGAGAATACCCTCTGCCTTCCTAGTAAAACCACTCCTGACAGTAGATTACACTACCTGGTTTATATCCAAAGAGAAGTCCTTGAACTATCACTCAGTATTAAAAAGGTCCTTCATGACTGTACTGGAGAAAGGGAACACACATACACACTCACACATAGGAATAGGTGTTTGCAGAAACACGTGAGCAGATGTTCGCTCCCCAGTGTAGAAGGCCTCCCTCTTGGCTCAAGCCTCCAGTATGGATGCTCTCAGCATACTGCTCTCAAGGGTGCTAAAGGCCTCCAGCTGACAGATAATGTTCCTTTGAGATCACGTTGGAAAGATTTTACCGCTGAGATATTAACTGACCATTGTTTGAGACTTCAGACCACAGTAATTTTTTTTCGACCAAGCATGTTCTGAGCTGTCTTGATTTCCATTCCAGATGGAGCTCCTGTGGGAGCACACATCTGTCTGAGCAGACTCAGACAGAGTCTGGGGACTCTGGACTGGGGAGTACCTGGTGCTTCTGCTGGTGGGTGACAGCAGTGCCACCTGCAGAGGCATGCTCTGGTTGAGTCACTGGGCTGCCAGGTAAAGGAGTTGAGGAAGGGGGTGAGCAGACTCTGCAGTGTCAGGCATGACAGGTGGGAGATTGACAGGCTCCTCAGAGACTGCAGTAGCAAGAGCCTAAGCCCAATTACACAGCAGAAGGGACAGCCAGTGGCTATGTTCAAGCATAGGGAAGAGAGGGACTCCACAACAGCGGTCACCGGAAACGCTTCTGCCAACAGGAAGGCTCTTTCTCTATCTGCAGATGTTTAGCTGTTATATTATGCGTATCATAGTTTAAGTAAAGCAGTGTGAGTTCATACCTCAGATGGGGCCTTAATTTTTTCCCCCCCCCCCCCCAATCAAAATAACGCAAACCACTATTCCCTATCAATGCCACAGTATTTAATGCCAGATTCTGCCCTCCTCTCTCACTAAGTAGCTCCCAAGAACAACCCTAAATAAATATATAAAATTTATTATAAATGGTAATATGTTAAATGCAATTGCACAAAACAGTAACAAAGTGATTTATAAACAGTAACCAACCAATTCATAACCCTAGTTTTACAGCGACATGTCTCTTTATTTAAATACCTCTTCCTTCCATTTAGCAGATCATAAAGCTGTCCACAGTAGATCTCATAAAAACTGATTAACACAAGGAGATCTTTCCTTGACTGTGGTGCTTCCAGGTGTCTAAAGATGTCCTTGGCAGCCAACGCATAGAGACCCGGGTTCCGGTGGGTACCTATCATAGTGTAAGTCTTGCCAGCACCAGTCTGTCCATATGCAAAGCAGGTTGCGTTGCCTCTGTAACGATAAGTTATATTTTTAGTGCCACATCTGATGCATTCATGTCTATTAAAAGGGATTCTGCAATGTAAATATCTATATATAGAGCTGACCCTTAGCAACGAGGTTCAGTTTGCATCCTCATCTGGGAAGCTGCAAAACACTTAACAGCGATTCCCGAGCACACCCTATGGAGGGTTGGCATGTCACGGAGTGCTGGCTCTCTTCCTTCTTTCCTGATGCCAAAAATGCATTTACAGAAGCTGACAATATATTATTATTTTTCCAACTGTTTATCTGCTACAGAGATATTGTAGGATTATGAATGAAAATCCTTTTGATTATGAATCACAGAGAAAAATGACTGCGACGCAAGGTGCGAAACAGCCACAAGTCAGGTTCTGTATTAACACACAGTGTTCTCAAAGATTAACACCCCAGCACTATAATTTACTGAGCAAAGTTAGTTTATCTCAAGCCGCAGCCCTGCATGCGGCTAAGTCAGTCTGATGACTTGTTGCTGCCTACGGGAAGGTTTTGCTCTTCCATTTCTCTCTTCTCAGCTGTGGGACCTACAGCATCCTCTGTGCTGGCTCTGATGTTTGACTTTATGGTACTAAAACAGCAGAAAGCTTTCCACTGTTTTTCGAGTTAGTTTTCTGCTGTTTCAGTGGAGTAAAGTAACTCGGGGAGGATCATGAAATATGTCAAAACCAGCTTCATGTAACCTATAGGAATGTGGCTAGGAGGAGGGGAAGGAAGATCATTCCCTTTCAGTGGCAGAGAGCTATAGGTACCCTCACTTCAACTAGTGAAAATACAGTCTCAGCTTATTCCAGATTACTGCATCTCTGTCATCATGCCATTTTAACGTTATAAGGGCAATGCACATAAAATGTCAAGTAGGTCTCAGGATACGGCTTTGCAGCCTTTCAGGCCCATCTAAGCTGAGGCTACCACATGCCTGTCTCCCCTTCCCATCCTGGCCTTCTGCAAGCACTGGCGCTCACAACTATGAGGTGAAGAGATTCAGGGAACTGAATCAGCCAAAAAACAAATATCACAAAACATGATTTTTTTTAAAAGGTTTTTTGGCTGGCTGACTATCTGGCTGCAGTGAAGTGAGTAAAACGTGGGACTGCAGCACAGACAGAGAATACTTTCTTGCCAGTATAGACTGCTAAATTAGCTTACCATGGGGTCAGATGAGACCCAATGCCAGTGAAGGGAAAGCAGCAGGAGGGACAGAAAAGTGGGGGGAAGCTGAGAAAAAACAGTGGCATCTCTTTTGGTGGCATCACTGGCTTGACTGTAATGTGAATCTGCCTTTATTGATTATTACTACATAGCAAGCTATAAACCTTATTCTCCCTCTTTTACTTTCCTTTCGTCAAAAGCGTGATGTTTTGTGTCTCTTCTGCTGATACTCAGAGATATTTAGTAACGGAAAGTTCCATTTTGTTAGTGTTCAGCACAGGCATGTAATTCTTGCCTTCAAAGACTCAAAATGTAATTATATTCAAGCTTGTTACGTTGTGTGAAAATAAGATTAGCCATGTAAAGCCAACATCAATTTGTCATTAATCAGGAAACATGTAATTACAATTAACCCTCTAAAAAATAAAACCCTCTAAATCAATAAAATAAAAATAAACCACAAGCTAAAAATAAACCACAAGCTTATTAAACAGTTTCTATTTCCATGTGAACTGCACAAATACATGCAAAAATATCTCACAACTGCCTCATGGAAGAGGTAACATTATTTCTCTACAAATGAGTAAACCAAGGCACTAGACAGTTTGTGCTATATCACACAGAAGTCTTTGTTAGAGCAGAGATTAGACTCCAGGAATCCTGACACCCATTTATTTTATTTTATTTTTTAAATGTTCTAGGTAGGCCATTCTGTCTCCTTGTTACAGTTGAGGCCCAATTTTCCTTTATTCTTATTGAATGCAAAGAATTTTTTCCGGATTTATTTTGTCAAAATTGTAGTCAAAGACATTCTAAATGGAGAAGGGTACGTGGAAAAAGAGAAATGAATGTATTCTCAAAAGAAGAAAAGAGTAAAAGGAAAATTAAAACAGTATATGAAACTGGAAAACAAAAAGGCAGAAAATAACAAACGTATGCACTGATGCCCTACCCGTTAAAAATATGCTGAATGAGAGGATGAGCTGTCTTCATATACACATCCTGATTGGTACATGACTCCCCAAAGACTTCATCAAAATAAAAAACATGCTGAAAAATAAACATGATCTTTTACATGAAAAGGAATATGTCTCACTTCCCCTTCACCCCCATTAGAACACAAATTACAACAACAGAAGTCTTTCCAGTGACTTCATATGGCGTTATATCAGGACAAAGCGACATGGCAAATTCGACATGCAGCATCACATCTGCAGGAACACACCATTACAATCAACCAAGAGAATGACGGTAGGAAGAAAAAAAGAAAGCAAAGATGCTTTAATCTTCCATCATTCTGAAGCAGAACATACAGCAGCCTTATGACAAAAAGCAGGAGAAAACTAATAAAAAAACCCCTCATCTATTCCTGAAATGAATCAGCCTACAGATGTACAGTAAGACTGCAACAGTAAAAACAACTCAAAATTAGTCCTCAGTTGTGATTAGCTGTCTCTGCTCTCCAGACTCAAACCCTTTTTGGGCCAGAGGAGACTAAACTATTCCGAAGCAAAGCTGGACTGTATTATCTCAGAAGAGGGCAGAAGGAAACCCTCAGGGTTTGATCCAAAACAGCAAGGTCTCTAGAAAGACTGCAGCTGAGTTCCTTTTGAACTTTGGAACTGGTCCTTCTAGGTTAAGGATGCTTTTTGTGGGGACAGTCATATAAGCACCTCACACTTCCAAAAAAGCTTCCACGGACTGGTGTCTAACATTGCACTCTAATGACACAGTGCATGGTAAATTAATGTAGCAAATCTCCAGGACTGATAACCATTTCAATGATGCACAAACAAGCCACACTGGCACATGTGAATTTTAAACCAGGGAGTCTCAGCAGCTCCCAGGACAGATCAGCTCTGTGACAGGCCTGCAATTTGGGTCCCCAGGCCACAGAGCTGGAGCATGCCCCAGCTCCTGTTTGGTCCATACCCCTGGGCTTCCTTTCTGTAGGAATCAGGGATGGAGGCAGGGTGAGTAGCCAGACTTAGAAGCAAGGAAGTACTCTAGGGTCCTGCAGTAGGGATATGGCTTTCTTGCCATGGCATACTTCTGACTGGACAATATTGACTTATAGCAAGATTTTGATTACCAGAACAAAATTAACTAGCAGTTATTTCAGTGCTGGGATACCAAGGTGATAGGCCCCACACAGATGCCAAATATAGCTAGCCAGATGGAGGGAGTGGGGTGGAATGGCTGCATGTGTCACACTGTAAAAGCTGGCATATGAACCAGGCCTCAGAGAGCTGCAAACCGATTTTTTACTGGCTACTCTGAACAGTTGTTCCCAGGATCCTGACTGTAAAAATAACACACAGCAGAGTGGGTATGGCTTGCTGCTCTCTAGAAATCAGTTCTGTTCCTGGTGCTGTCGGTCAAAACTGAGAATTTGAACTATGACAGCACAAGATCCTTGGGATTTAGAAACAAAGACCAAAGGGGAACTTAATTTTCAGAAGCATTTAAGAACTAAGAAGGGGAGGGGGCGAGAGTATTTGTGATTCCTTGAAACAAACTTCAGTGCTGAAATAGCGTGAAAAGGAAACTCCTCACTGAAGTACCCCGGAAAGTTACTAGGGGATTCTGCGGTGGGCAGTTCTACTACAACAACAGCATTTAGCAGAGGGTTTTATCCTGTGCAAAGAAAGCTGCCAGAGACATGCTTTTGAGGACGTAAAATTGTCAGGTTTTCTGCCACAAGCTGGCACAAATCAGAAGAAATTCAAATACAGTTACGCTGAACAGATAGAAGAGCCCACCACCTATTTCTATGCAAGAAATACAGACAGACCTTTTCTGTTTCCCTTTACTGAAATCCCAAGGGGGTTCTTGGCTGGGTTCACCATTAGTACAATTTGCTTTATTCCACCATGCAAGTGACTAGCCCATAAACATAAAATGTAAACACAATACATTACCTGCAAAATATATTGGGTGAGATCAACTGCCTCCTTCTTCTCATGAAGGAGTAGGGTTTCTTTATCTTTCACTGTGATGATGTTAACCTCCCCACGTCGCTCCTCTCTTTGGCCCAGGGGACGTTTTCGGACACACACTCGGATTTTTTCACTCTCTGTCCATGGAGTTTCTTTCTCAGAGGTACCTGATCTACAACAAAATTGTAGTTTTGCATTTTAAAACCAGGTTACTACACAACGCAGAATATGTGTAAATATGACTTGGATTTCTAGCTTTACCAAACAAATATTTCTGTCACACTCATCAAAAAGCCCTCACTGTGACATGGTGGACTTCCTGCTGTTTTTTGCTAAATAGACTAATAACTTGTGCACTTTGTTAAAATAATAGTAGTATTTATACAGCTATGTCTTCAACCAAACGAATAATGATTTTCTGCCTGGATTTGAATGTCAGTTTGTCAGGAACAATCACTTTAATCAAGCGCTGACTTACCGGAGAGTACTGTTTCTGCCATGCTATCCAAATGCCCTTCCAAAAATCTCTTAATGTAACGATTGAAAACCAACATATACTAGTTGCCTAATAAATTAAAGACAAAAACACAGCAAGGACACAAGTTATTCAATATCTCATTACAACTACAAGCTTGTAATGTCATTGCTGTTGTGCTGCATGATTCCTCAGAAGCATACAACACGCAGATATAAATCTCAAGATGTAGTCTCAGTTCACACAAGTAATTTTTACTTGTAATTGTATTCTCATTAATTTTAGTATGGCTTTCCTGTGCCAACCAGGATCAGACCCTGTTTTTTGGATGGAAACTTCTTTCCCCTGAAAGACCATGATACTTGAAATAGGACGCTTTAGCTTATAAGCCACTATAAGCTTATGGATATCACTGAGCACCAGATGTTGTCAACAAATGACCAGAGGCTCTAAAGTTTGTTGACCCATAGGGAAAGCCTTTTTTTTTTTTTTGTTCTAAAAGCTTGAAGGAAAAAGGACTAATTACAAAATCTCAAGAAAGGAAAAACTGAAAACTTGGCGATTCTGTGTATGACAGAAAAGGCATAAATTCTTTCTTGTACAGATGAACATTTAATGCATGTATTTTGTATGGGGACTGAATACGCTTGGATTCGATATGCTGAACCTGAAGTTTAATTTTCTATTAACCTTTCTTAAATAGAAATTATATTTTATGAAAAAGTATATTTGTATATTATTAGCATAAAACAAACCTTGAAACCGACCATTAGAAACCTGATTAGACAAAAGTCAGAAGAATCTCCATGTCCTGTCTGCTAACATGAAAACCAAGTCATTTGCTGCAGCCAAATGGAAAATATATTTAAACATACTAAAAAAGCTGTTCATCTTTCCTCAGTCTTAAATCACTCCACTGTCCAGGGTTACTTGTAGATGGGATTAGATTAGTCTTAACAGTGGTCAAATCCCAAGGGGACACGCGAATGATTCAACAAAGGAGATGGACACTCACAAGTCAGGAACCGCTAACCCAACTGCCAGCGGCCTGGCCCCAAGCCTGACATGCAGAACATGTGCTCTGTGGTCAAAGCAGGGGAAAGAGAAACTCAGGCATATCAGGAGGATGCAGGAAGCCCACAACGCTAGTGCTAAGCACAAAGGAATGTGCTTAGAAGAAAGAAGAACAAGAAAAGAAAGGGAGAACAATAGAGAGCATAGCTCTATTGCAGGATTCAAGAATCTTAAAATAAAACCTATTGGAACAGCTAGAGGAGTTTATTTTTTACTTTCCAGCCCTAAGAACCCTGCCCTTTTTGTTGCACCTTGGCTCAGTTTCCAGAGGAGACAGAGAATGCACCAAGATGCCAATCTTATTTACTCCTCTGGAAGGCAGGAGTGGCAAGGTTGAATTCTTTTCCAGTTTTAAACCTGGATCTCTCATTTCACAGGTAAGTGCTCTTAACTACTAGGCAACCATAGTGCTTTCCCACTGTGGCAACAGCATCTGCTCCATCCAGGCTATGTGCATGCTCAACAGGAGTTGTCACCAACCCTGACTCCATGGATCCTTCCTCACCACACCTTTCACGACAAGCTCATACAGCTTCCTTTGCCTGCAGTAGGTGGTAGCCACTCATCAGGTGTTTGGCAGCACACATCTTCACTCTGGATCCAGTAAACGTCTTCACACGAAGCTCGACATGCTACTGCTTGCCATCGAACGCATGCACTCCTTCTGAAGCAGTTCATGAACCACAAATGGTATACTGTCCTGCCTTTGGGACCTCTGCACAAGGTTATCATTTTGAAGGTTAGCACTATGATCCTTATGACAGTCTCATCGCTGCATTTTAAAACAAAGCTGCCACAACTGCATTGCAGTGATCTGGATTCTCGTAGAACGTGTGCAGGGAGGTATGTACTCAGTCTGCTGGATCAGGATCTGCAGGAGACCTAAATGCAGAAGCAGCTAGTGCCTGAATCCTAATCAGGTTAGGAGGAGAGGCCTGGGAGACATCTATTAAGTTTGGATACTTTCAGAGGTAGTGATAGCTGACTGAGGCCTTCTTAGCTCACAATTTTTGACTCAAAGCAGTCAGTTTACACTGCGCTTATCTGCACTCGGCCCAGTGTAAGCCAATAAAAGTTATTTTGTGCTTTAAAAATGTTTCCAGGGTTGATTTTCCAGGGGTCCAAGATAACTGTAGCCCCCTGTTAGCAACACTGGGAAACAGCATGCACGTTAGGGATCACGTGCTCGGGGAGCAGCTGCAAAGCTTCCCTCTCGTCATCGTCTGTATCCAGTCCCAGTTAAATTCATTCTGTTTCTTTTTAAAGCTCCAGTTCAGAAATTCTTTATGAACAAATATAACTATCACAGTATGCATTATTTTTACTGGGAAAAACTTCACAGACTTACCATCAACAGGCAACACTGTATTTTGGAAAATGATGTTTTGCAAGATAGCCACATGGGGGGGGGGGAAGGGGGGAAGAGAGAAAAAAACAGCCCAAACACCAAGAAAACAAAGGCTTCTATCCTGCAAGATAGTGAAAACTATTCTTAGGCAACCTTGGCAAGTAGCAGCTGGCAAATTCAACTGATTCTTTCTACCAGACTTGGAGAGTGTGAAGTGCTTGTTAATACATTCTCTCCCTGTAAGATCTTGCATTGCTCTGTGCAACTTTTACAGCATTACAGTTTGCTTATTTGGGGTCAATAAAGACAGATTCTCCTCCCCAGTGCAGAAATTATCATGATTAACTTGAAATATGGTAAAATAAAGGAGATGAATTATTACCTGATACAAGAATGAGGTAGTCCATAATTATACCCTGAAATATGAGTTATTCTTTGTATGATGGGAGTTTCAGAATCCCCCAAGAGAGGAGCAATATCATCAGATACTGTAGCACAGTCCAGTTCACTTTTTGTGCATATTCCAGGAGTATTTAGGTCTCTTCTAGCTATTCTAATCAGCTCTGAATCATGTGGTTGAATGTGTCCCAGCATTTCCACTAGACTGTCCCTCTCTTCATTGGCACTGAAATCAGTTGAACCGTATGATTCAGACTCAGAGTCTTTCACTGCTCCATCATTTTTCTCAAAGAAGGACTCAAAATGCAGTTGTCTACGGGGACCTGATCTGGTCACCTGAGGCTGAACAATAAGGCCACTTGTTTGAAAATTTTGCTTTTTCAAGTCTGCTGCATCTTCCTCTTCTTGCATAATTTTGATTATTCTAATGAGCTGAAAAAGACGTTTACGGTCATTCATGTCGTGGACCCCCAGTTTGGTATAATCTTTCATGGAAACCTTGGCAAGCTCATCAATCTTCTGAAGACCAAAGGCAGCAAAATATGGATAGTATTTTTCAAGTTCTGCCTCACAAAGGCATTCATAAAGGCATGATGCCATCTTCAAGCTAAAGCCTACAAGAAACCAAACAAAAAAGTATTAGATTCATATGAAACATCACGACTGACAGAATTATTAATGAAGTAACTACGCATTTCCCCAAATGTCGTTATCTGCAGTTAGGATAGAAGCCTGTCACACTTCAAGTTCCAAAACACTGGACTGTCAAACAATAAGGAATACAGCAATAACAGAAGTACATTAAATATGAAGCAAAATTTTTACTTATGAAATTGCATTTTAAAATGATACATAGAAATGCACAATACACAGTTACTTACTGCTGCAGAGTTCCTACACATCTGATGCCTACTTGATAAATGCCTCAGCTACTGAAACCCTGTCCTCAAGCTACAGAATGTAAAATGCCTAATTTTAGATACTCAATTTAATATCAGGACATGTGGTCTAGTGTGGTTCTGCAGCTATCCCTGGTTAACTAACCAAAGGAAAAGAAATTGCATTTGTCCTCACCTAAGGCTGAATTATTAAGACTGTTCATCTTACAGATGAACTCCAGCAAAGTCAGAGTTTTAGGTTTCCTTTAAGTGTAACTTTCTATTGAATTTCATGCATCTTGTGAGCATTTCTAGGTGTACTTGACAGAAAATCCAAAACATTATGCAAAACCTGAAACATTGAATTTATCTAAAACTATATAGGCTACTGGAACTCTGCACTTGTCTTCTTGGGAAATCCAAAAAAAACCCAGCATATATCATTGAAAGATACGTGAAAAAAAAAAACCATCCTAAACACATGTATACAATACACTTCGCTGCTGTTTGTATCCAGATGGCCAAATATCTGCAGATATTTTCACTTATTCTGTAAAATGGAAAAATGATAGCACTTCAAACATCCATTGCCCACTACCTTCGTATGTGTTTGTTCAGTCTAGGACCTTAGCAAATACAAGTCTTACTCAATTTAGGATGTGATAATATCATTCAATAAAAACAAATTATTTAAGGCTACAGTTTTTTCCCCTATAGCAGGATTTTCAAGCATCCCTACAATAATATCATATAAGAAAATAAGGTCACCAAATATCAGCCCAAGGTTGATTTTAAATCATTAAAATTATGACACAGTTAGAATAATAACAACAAAACAATAAAGATTCTATTAAAATGCTGATTGCATAAGACATAACAGAGGCCAAAAGATGCATTAGAGGACAACTAAAATGACTTTGGAGCTGGAGTCTAAGCTGTAAATAGCTGTTAGCCATAATAAAATTATATGAGTCAGCAGCAACAAACTTCAAGACAAAAGCAAGTGTTATATAGGCAGACTTTCTTAATGCATGTGTAACGCAATTCTGAATCTTGAGGTAAAGCCAGAGCCACTGCTGAAATTATTAGATCCAGGGAGGAGGAAACAAAATCCACAAGGAGGATGGCGAATGCAAAGATCACAGAGGCTAACAATTACACACGTACAAGAGCTTTCACAAGCATTCAGAGTTTCGCAAATTCTTTAACAGGTACATTGCCACAAGAACTTCAGATTTCATTTAGAGGAGGGTTATGTTTTTGAAAAATCCCTATCTTGCATAAGGTAGCTAAGAACATAAAACAGGTCCTCTGTAAATCTGTTCACTTACGCTGCCACAGGAAACCTCTTTTGTTTGATTAAAGGAGCAGATTCCTATCGTCCATTCTTGCTCTGTATTCTAGATTATATTTACATCATTGCATATGCTTCACTTAAGTACAGAGTGACCAAAACAACAAGGTAAAAACTAATTCTGTGTTAACCTATATTTGAATGATATTGCTGGGCATTTCCCAACACATTTCCCAAAAAGAAAACAATGGACAAGGCTGGAAGTTATGAGTCTTAAGGTCAAGGTTCTAACGAAAAAATAAATACAATCTAATTAAATACCCATAAGTGACTACACATTCAACTTTCCATCATTAGCGTAACGAGGGACTAAGATTCTCAAAACATGGAAAATCCAAGAAATACAGGTACTACAGAACATATGAGAAGACTAGCACTGAGCCACTTAAGCGGCTCTGCACGGCTTACTGGCTAAGGCTCTGTGCCATATGAAAGCAACTAAGCTGCTTCTTAATGGAAGCTGGCCCTGAAAGTAATATAAGTACTTTTGCTGCCCCAGATATAATGAATCTTACTGGATCTAAGTGGTTCCAGAAGGTAACTTCACTGTCTCTCCATTCATGAAGCACCTACTTCACAATCCAGGAAAACTGAATATTGGCTAATAAAGGAGTAACAAATTAGTTAACCTTGGGAAAAATGAAGCAAAAGTCATGATAGGTCCCACCATTTCTGATCATTTTAAAACTCAAGAATAGATCATTTTCTAAATGATTTTCTCTGGTTCACACAAGAGGTAATTCAGGGGAATTACAGTTGTCAGAATAGATGATCACAGCGAACCCTTCAGGCCTTCTGATCAGCAACGTTCTAAAAGAATGGAAAGCCTTTCTCCCCCTAAAAAGAAGAGCTTAATTCACCTGATATTTTAGGCATAAAAAAAACTGTACAGATACTGTTTCTCAAACAGCAATACAATACTCCAAAGTAAATTAGCCTTGTAAAGAAAGAATTCTAAACTGTCGATAACGCCATCTTCTGGCAAAAAGGGGGAAGACCCTTACTTTTCTACAATGAGTAACAGCCAGCATTCCCTCAGTTACTGCCAGGTTCTTATTTTGTTTGTTCACGCGAGACAAAACTGTTTTCTGGTGCATAAAAATGCAACATTCTTCAAAGCGATTGCTTAATATCAAAGCCCAAGTCTTGTTTCCAACAAAGCTGTGAGTGACTTCCCTGAAAACAGGATTGAGACAGAATTCTTCAACTTCTTAAAACAGCTGGATATAACATATGTTTTGAGGAAGAAGGGAGTCAATTTGGAAGCAGAATTCTCTATAAGCACCTGATTATAGGGTCAAATAGCCTAAGCCTTAAGAAGAATTTTTCATTCAATCTGTATTCTAACATAGAGCATAATTTATTGCAGTTCAGTGGTTGCTGATCTCATTTTAGCCTGCAGAAAGATTCAGCTTTACTTTGAAATTTTCACTTTCCTCTCAAATAAGGGACCTGCTTTTGCTCTGACAAGAAGGTGCTGCAGCAGGTTGGTCACACAAACAGTTAAGTCATCGGTTAAGTCCAGAGCATCCTACTTACTAATATGCAAGTTCGCAGTGAAGGAGGAACAGTTAGTGATGATATACCTTACTGCTAGAACAGAGAGATGTCTAAGCAGTAGGATATCTGGATCAGGCTCCAGTCAGGCTATTGTCTTTATGTGGCAAACTTGAGTTCTCTACAACTAATTTCTTACGCAAAGGAGTCTTTTAAAGATCTTAAAAACCTGCCAGGCTCTGGTAATGGGTAAGTATCCATTGTAAAAAGCATTAGAATTGTATGTAAAGGGGCCAACACAAAGCACAGAATAAGATCATAGTTTGTCATCAGAGAACTGTACTGTTTTGGAAATAGGAGTTTTTTTAATAGGAGTTTTTCTAAAGGCATAAAGCTGGAAAAAAAAAAAGAGTCCGGTATAAATAGCAGAAACCAGTGATTATATCTTACATATTCTGAAGAAAATACACTTACCACAGAATTCTGCTCTAGGAGTTGCTCTTCCACTTTAAAATGCTTTTAATTATTAATTAGCTCTTACATTGATCTTTTCACTCTCAATGCACTTTTCAAAGCGGAGAAAAGGCTGGCCTTCACAAAGATGCTCAGTGGCTGTAAGTTACTGTTCATGAACTAAAGCATGTAAAAACCCCACACAGACTATTTTAGGAATAAAGCAGTCTCAGACCACTGTATCTTGATTCTTACTAACCTCTGCTACAGTAAAGATCTCAGTGCAGTGTTCACTTGAATAAAACACCCACATGCAGTCTTATCTCAGTGTAGCTCACTCGTATTTACCTGACGATTTTAACTGGTTTTCACTGATACTTCTGAGTTTCACCACTGAGACAAGACCCAAGTATCACTATAACTGTATCTTAAACGGGGAAATGAAGTCACAGCGAAGTGAAGAGACTTTATATAGCACTCAAAACCTTAAAATGTGAACTACTGCAAGTATATATTTAATTCTGCAAATAATCTAGGATTATCATTCTCAATCATAAACTCTGGCCTAATCATTTAATAATTTTTTTTAGGAACAATTCTCAAAGGCATCAGATAAAAGTAATAATTGTTAAACCTTACTAGCATCTTTTTTTCCCTACCTATGACTTTGTAGCGTGTCAAACACTGAAGTACCCTTTGCTTTACAAACACCTTATAAAAATAAAAGTTAAGAACCTAAAATTTGTAAACACATGTAGCAGGTACTTATGCTTCCTCTCCTGATTACAGCTATACCAGTGCATTATACTTCATTACTTGTAACCACCTTACCCCGAACAAGTCTTCGGCACAACCTTCGCGTCAAGGTGTTTGATGGTTTTTGAGGTATAGAAGCAGAAGACTGGAATGAAACCAATCTTTCCTGACAACCCTACAATGCAGAGAAGAGACACTTATTAATTCGTGTCAACGGTCATTCATCTATGTTTCTTATTCCTCTGAACATTAAGCTCGTTTTTAACTGTGGTCCATAGCCAAATTTGATTTAGCCCTCCAGAGGAGAACGGCTAATTTGCCTTTCCAGGACACCACACGAAATGCTTTACCTTTAACCATTTTGACCTCCATTCTCTTGAACACTAGAGCATTCTTATGAAGGACAGAGTCATGGTATGGTTGCCCTTTCATAAGCACAAGACATGTAATAGGAGACAGTATCTGCTATAAAATAAAATCATAATTTTAATTTAAGACTGAATTCAACAGGTAGCAAGCTACGAAACACAGTTTGAAACATTTATTTATTAGTGCGCCAGATCCTTTTGTAAGATCATAGGATTACACTATGTAACTCCCTGTGCATGTACACATCTTGGATTAAATATTCCGTTGGTTGTTGCAATGAGCGTTACAGCAGTCCATTTTGAAGATATGGGGGACAAAATTTAATGCTAGCAATAGATAACCATCTATGGCTTCTGTATAAGAAAAGTAATTGGAAAGGAAGGAATATATTTAATGTTAACTGATAAATATTTTACAGCTGGACCACGTAAAAGATGTCTTCTCCCTTTATCAACATTCCAACTTCCTTTGCTACTGATATATGCCTAACACGGAGTTAGTTACTGGATCTACAATTAATTTCAGTGTTCTTTGAAAAAGACTAAAAAGGACAACTTAATATTGGGGGGTTTTTTGTTTTCAAAAAAATATTTTTTAATTTGCAAAAAGATTGGCAATTGTTAGAATTGTTCTCTCATACTAATTATAGTTTGATGACCTCAGCAGAAGGGACTCCATCCTACAGCTGATACCCGACGACAACTGCTTAAAACAACAGCTGCATGGAAATGGAAGTGTCTAATATTCAGCCGCAGCTAAGAAAATAATCTATGAGTTATATTAGGATGCCGATTATTTGAAAATTGTGCCCGAGTGTCTCTTGCAAGCAACATTTACCAAATAGCTTCCAGCACTTATTTAGTTTTGTAACTTCAGCAAGGCAAACCACTGTGCATCTGCAAGTATGCTTCAGACTCAGAGGGCACATGTTTACTGAATTTGGTCCCATAGCGAGAAACTTTGTATTTATAGTTTCCCCAACTTGAATTCAGTCCCAGGGTGCTGAACTTTGTATTTATAGTTTGCCCCCACTGGGAGAAGCCCCCACATTTCACCAACTGTTTAGATATTTCAGTTCAGCCGGGGAGGGGGGGAGGAATTCAGAACCACCCCGAGCTGTGGCGTTGCGTTGCTCGTGGCTACCCAACCACAAACCGGCCGTGCGTTGTACGACGTGTCTGTATCACAAATGGAAAGGGGGTGGGGGGGGGAGGACATAGTTTCCAGACTGAGACATGAGCAGCACCACACAACTACTGAGGCCGCGACGACGGGGCCGCGCAGGCAGGCCAGGGAACACCCCGACGACACATAAGAAGGAGCTAACGCCGTTACAAACGCCCCGCTGCAGCCGGAGCGTCCCGCTGCGCCAACTGCCAGGCCCCTCCCCG